CCTCGCCCTCCTCGACCTGGGCTGCATCTCCACCACTGTCCCCAAAGCCATGGCCAATGCCCTCTGGGACACCAGGCACATCTCCTATGCAGGATGTGCTGCATAGGTCTTTTTCTTCCTCTTCTTCATCTCAGCAGAATATTTCATTCTTACCATCATGTGCTATGTTGCAATCTGCAAGCCTCTTCACTATGGAACCTTGATGGACAGCAGAGCTTGTGCCAGCATGGCAGCAGCTGCCTGGGGCACTGGGCTTCTCAATGCTCTGCTGCACACTGCCAATACACTTATGCTTCCTCTCTGCCAAGGCAATGCCTTCAACCTGCTTTTTTTTATGAAATCGCCCAAATCCTCAAGCTCTACTGCTCACAGTCCTACCTCAGGGAAACTAGACTTACTGTATTTTGTGTCCCTTTGGAGCTTGCTGTGAGTCCACCTGGAATAGACTAAGAGTAGACCCAGAGGAAAGAGTGTGCAAACCCGATGCAAAAATAAGAGTAAATACGGAGACAAGTGTGAGTAAACCAGAGTAAAGTATGAATGAAGTTGAAGAAAAGTTAGAGTAAACCTTGAGACAAGTGAGAGTCAAACACACACAAAAAAAGAAGTGTGAGTAAACCCGGAGTAAAGTGCAAGTAAACTTGGAGTAAAGTGTAATGTAAGCCCAAGTAAAGTGTGAGACAACACGGAGTAAAGTGAGAGTAAACAAGGAGATTGTGAGTAAAACCCAGAATAAGGTGTGAGTTCATCCAGAGTAGAGTAAGAGTAAACCCAAAGAAAAGAGTGTGCAAACCGGGCGCAGAGCATGAGTAAATAATGGAAAAGAAAACTGTGAATAAAACAGGAGTAAAGCATGAGTAAACTCGGAGTAAAGTATCAGGAAAACCAGGAGTAAAGTGTGGGTAGGCCCAGAAGAGAGAGCGTACACACCCAGAGTAGGGTGTGAGAAAACCCCAGAGAAAAGTATAATAAACTTGGAGTAAAGTGCAAGTAAAGTTGAAGAAAAATTTGAGTCCACCCTGCGTAAAGTGTGAGTCAAACACATGCAAAACAGAAGTGTGAGTAAACCTGGAATAAAGTGTGAGTGAACTTGGAGTAAAGTGTGAGAAATCCCGGCATAAAGTGTGAGTAAACATGGAGTAAATGGTGAATAAAACCCAGAGTAAGGTGTGAGTCCACCCAGAGTAGGGTAATTCCAGAGTAAAGAGTGAGTAAAACCAGTAGAAAACTGTGAGTAAATCTGGAGTAAAATGTGAGAAAACTTGGAGTAAAGTGTGAGAAACACCTGGAGTACAGTGTGGGTAGGCCCAGAGAAAAGCATGAGTAAACACAGAGTAAAGTGTGAGGTATGCCCAAGTAAAGTGTGAGAAAAGCTGGAGTAAATGGTTAGTAAACGTGGAGTAAAGTGTGAGCAAAAGTCAGAGTAAGATGTAAGCCCATATCAAGGAGTTAAGTAGATCAATCTATGCCTCTGACAGGGGGGCAGTAGGTTTCTGCCCTCCTCCAGCCCCCTCCCAGCCTCACAAAATGGGAAGGGAAAGGGAAAAGGGATAGGGAGATGGGAGCTGAGCTCAAGGAAAGGAAAAAACAAAACAAAACAAAAAAACAGCAGCAACAATCTGTGGAGGAAAACTTATCATAGTAAAATATCGGAATGCAAGGTAACACAATATAATACAATCTAATTGAAATTGAGACTAATAAATCAAATAAGATAGGAGAAAGTTCCTGAGAACGAGTCAAACCTGAAAAGATTGGAACGGCTAGGAAAGCACCCTCCAGCACACACTGCCAGGCAGTAAGAGACCGCCCCACCTAGAAGGGTCAGATCCATGACTTCCATAATGTATAGGGATAAGTACCTGCAATTGGAGCATTAACACTTTAACTCCCAATGCACTACATGATGTTATGATGTGGAATACTGAAAACCAAAAAAACACAAAACCATTACACCTTTACATGTCAACCCTCTCACAGTTGTGTCTGTCTAAGCTGTATGCTTTATAAGAAAATCACAGAAGGCTTGAATTACTTTAGAGCTTTCAGAGAAAAGGAGGAAAAGGAAAGAGAAATTAAAATGAGTAGGAAGATCACCCTGCTTATTATCCTTTATCTCTTTCACTAGCTTCACTCAACATGAGCATTAGCCTTCCTCATTGCTTCTCTGCAGGCTCTGACAACACACCTGTACTCCTCCCAAGGGGACAGGCCCTTTTTACCACTTTTACTAAACCTTCTTCTTCCCTTTCATCTTATCCATGAGCTCCTTGCTCATCCATGCAGGCCTCCTACATCCATTCCCCCATTTCCTACTCTTAGGGATGCACTGATCCTGAGCTTGGAAGAAGTGCTGTTTAAATGTTGCCCAGCTCTCATGGGCTCCCTTACCTTCAAGCACTCGAGACCATGAGATACCTCCAAGTAGATCCCAGAAATTGTTGAAGTTGGTTCTCTGACAGTCCAGGGCAGCAATCCCACTTTTTGCCTTACTTCTTCCACCCAAGATCTTGAACTCCACCATCTCACCATTGCTGCATGCCAAGCTGCCCCCAAACTTCACATTCCTAACAAGCCCATCCCTGCTGGAAAGAACAAGGTCCAAAATCACCCCACCTCTTGTTGGCTCCTCCAACACGCGCATGACAAAATAATCTTCAGTGAATCACAGGAACCATCTGGACTGTGTGTGCCAGGACATGTTGCTTACCCTGCAGATATCTGGATGATTCAAGACCCCCCATGAGAACCAATGCATGGGATTGCAAGGCTCCTTGCAGCTGCGTGTAGAAGGCGACTTCACTGACCTCATCCCCCTGATCTGGTGACTTAGTACACCCCACAACAGTGTCATCCATACCAGCCCTGCTATTAATTCTCACCCACAAGCGCTCCACACATTCTTCACCCTCCCACAGGTGCACCTCAATCCATTCTAGTGGCTCTCTCACATAAAATGCAACTCTTCCACCTCACTTCCCCAGCCTGTCTTTCCTGAAAATGACACAGCCCTCTATGGCAGCATTGCAGTCATGTGAGCTGTTGCACCACATCTCCATGACTTCAGTGAGATCACGGCCCTGCAACTGCACACAGATCTCCAGCTCATCCTGTTCATTTCCCATGCTGTGCGCACTGGTCTACAGGCACTTTAGGGAAGCAATATGTGCAGTTACCCCTAGAGGGACACAAGATAATTTTGGATGGCGTATTGGCAACATGACCTTCTCTGAGGAGTCCCCGTATGATCCTATGGGACAGCTCAGAGGTTATTCCCTGCTATCTCCAACAGTGACAGCATCCCTCAGCCCTCCTCTGTCACATGAATTCCCCTTCCTTCCCCCTTTGGACCTTGTTTAAACCCCTGGTAATCAACCCAGACAGCATGCTCCCCAGCAGCCGTGTGCCCTGCTTGCTCAGTCAGAGTCCATCAGTAGCCCACATATCCAGTTTCTCAAAGGCCTGCCCAAGATCAGAATACCCAAAGCCTTAATCAAGACACTACGCCCTCAGTCAGGCAGTAAATGGAAGCGTCAGTGCTCCCCAGCAGAAGCCCCCACTTACTAAGACTCTCCATCATTTTTTTTTTTGGTGGCACTGGTATTGATGCAGCACTCTGTCCGGCTGCCCAGGGCCCCATCCAATCTGGCCTTGAACACCTCCAGGAACAGGGCATCCACCACCTCTCTAGGCAGACTGTGCCAGCACCTCACCACTCCATCTGTAAAGAATTTCCCCCTGACATCCAACCTAAATCTCCCCTCTCTCACCTTAAAACCATTTCCCCTTGTCCTGCTGTCACTCACCCTTTCAAAGAGTTGATTCCCCTCTTGTTTGTAGGCTCCCCTTAGGTACTGAAAAGCTGCAATGAAGTCACCCCACAGCCTTGCTTCCTCCAGGCTGAACAAGCCCAGCTCCCTCAGCCTGTCCTCAAAGGGGAGGTGCTCCAGTCCCCTGATCATCTTCATGGCTCTCCTCTGGACCCTCTCCAACAGCTCCCTGTCTTTCTGTTACTCCCTGCATTCTCAACGTCCTTCTCGGGCAATGAGTTCTGACTATTTTCCTGACCCTCATCCATTTCTGGCCCGAGAAACTCAAATCTAATACGCAGGGGTTGGTGGCACTGTGGGTGTTGGGATCAGACGCCTCACTCTGCTTCGAGGAGAAATGTGCAAATGAAGAGTAGGTAACCATTCATGGGGGTAAATTCTGTCAGTACACTCAGAGGTGAGGCGATTCTGCATTCCTGGTCCACAAAAGAAATCCTGTAGCACAGAGAAGGCACCTTAGCCTTGTACATGAACCACTCAGCACTCAATTCTGTGCAGAAATAAAACAAATATATCAATCTGAGAAAATCAGATCCTGGCACAGCCCTCAATTTCTGGGAAGTTGGTAACCTAATCGGAAGTGAGGCTGTTCTTGAGACACTCCTTTAAAGAATTAAGAATAACTAATTGGTATCATCCTCCAGGCTGAGTGGCTTATAGTAGACTCCCACAGTGATTCCACTTTAGTTCCTTGTCCCTCAATCCATACCCAGAGGCATTCAACCACGTCATTACTAACTGTAAGCCCCATTCCACACAGCCCACCAGTACACACAGCAACCCCATCCCATCTCACATGCCCTGCATCTCTGCCCTGGAGAGCCCAGAGCCATCCATCACACACAGCACACCCCTCACAGCACCACTCCCACCACGTCTCACTCATTCTGATGCTGCAGCACACAGGGCCTCCAACTCTGGATGCCAACGTGAAAAACCAGTAACACATAACAGCCTTGCACATTGACACATTGGAGACAAACAAGGCTTGGTGTCACACAGCTGCTCTGAGCTCTCGATTAAAGCATTCTGGAAGAGCAGTAGAACCAATGTGCAGCACGGTCAGGAAGGATGATAGAGTTCTGTGAAAGAAATGCTTTCCCTGGGGGCAAACAATGGGCTGGAAGCGGCACCCAAACCAAATCCTGCTTCCACTGTTCACTCTCTTCATTCCAAATGCTGACATTTATTTTAAGAACAATAAACAAGACTACAGTGAATAAAGCTTCATTACAACTCAGCTACTTTATTCACCCCTTCCCTTTCCACTACAGATGATTCTCAGAAAACCTCCAAGAGCCACGTTACTGCTCTCCTGACCCTTCTCTCAGATTCATCCGTGCACTCACAGATTACTGAGAGCAACACATGCACACAGACACACAGAACATCCCTACACATCTCCTTAGGAAACGGCATCAAAATGCTGCTGGCAGGAAGGGCGAAGACAAAACCGGACATGGTGAGAGAACTGCTTTGGGCAGCAAGGAGAGGCCATCTGAAGCTCCTGGCTTAAGTCCCTTCTGCACAGGGTGCCAGTGATGCACCAGAAACACTTGTAGGGCCAGTGAGGAGCTCTGCACTCTGCACAAAGCCCTTCTCACACTCGAGGCATTTCTAAGGCTTCCTGACAGGAAAACTCACAAGTGCAGGCATAGATCGGACTTCACCCAAGTGCAGACACTCTGATACCTCAGCATGTTCCAGCTGTGGCCAAAGATCTTCTTGCAGGCTGCACACCTGTAGGGTTCCCACATGGATCCACTGGTGTATGATGAGCTTCCAGCTCTGGACGGACCTCTTCCTGCAGCAAAGACACTCATAGGGACTCACCCCTCGGTTGGTTCTCTGGGCTCTACTGAGGGTTGAGCTCCAGATGAAGCTCTTCCCACACTCCCTGCAGACAGAATTTCTTCCTTCCTGGTGACATATCGGCCCAGCTGAGGTTTCCTTTGGGTCCTCACCTGCTGCCCCACAGCAGAGAAGTTTCTGCAGGGGAGGTAAGAGGTGACTCTCCTTGCACACAGCCCTGACAGTAATGTGCCACCTGGCAGGGGGTTTCCAGTGGCTGTGACACATCCCACTGTGGATTCTCCTTTATACAGCTGCTCAACACAGCAACTGCAGCTGAAAGAGAGCAATATGCATAAGTCCCATGCAAAGAAGGTGAAAGAGAATTCAGTTCTTCCTCTACTCAAGGGATTTGTAAGGTTCATCACCACACAAAGCCACAGTTGGTTACCAGGCTGGGGTTCTGGCTGAAACTCTTCCCATGTTTGGGGCATTGCAGGCTCTGTATCTTGCTTGGCTGTGCTGGTAGGTAAGGGAGATGGAACCGCTTTTGAAGGTTTCCAGAGTCTTGAGATGCTTCTACAGCCTGTGTGCGCTGGGGATGGTGGGTGTTGAGATTACATCTTCATTTAAAGCTCTTCTCACGCTCAGGACACTTACAGGGTCTCTCTCCTGTGTGGGTGTGCTGGTGGTTCTTCAATTCACAACTCCTTCTGAAGCTCTTCCCACACTCAGGACACTTGTAGGGTCGCTCCCCTGTGTGGATGCGCTGGTGGCACTTCAATTCATAACTGCTTTTGAAGCTCTTCCCACACTCAGAGCACTTGTAAGGTCTCTCTCCCGTGTGTATACGCTGGTGGTAGATGAGGTGGGCACGGCTTTTTACGGTCTTCCCACACTCAGGGCACTTGTAGGGTCTCTCCCCTGTGTGGATGCGCTTGTGGCTCCTCAGTTCAGAACTGCTTTTGAAGCTCTTCCCACAGTCAGAGCACTTGTAGGGTCTCTCTCCCGTGTGGAAGCGCTGGTGGTAGATGAGGTGGGAACGGCTTTTTACAGTCTTCCCACACTCAGAGCACTGAAAGGGTCTCTCCTCTGTGTGTATACGCTGGTGCAGCTTCAGTTCAGAACTGCTTTTGAAGTTCTTCCCACACTGCAAGCACTTGTAGGGTTTCTCTCCTGTGTGTACACGCCCATGCAGCTTCAAATCGTAACTGCTTTTGAAGGTCTTTCCACAGTCAGAGCACTTATAGGGTTTCTCTCCTGTGTGGATGTGCTGGTGGGACCTGAGGTAAGAACTGCTTTTGAAGCTTTTCCCACACTCAGAGCACTTGTAGGGTCTCTCTCCTGTATGGATGCGTTGGTGGGAGGTGAGGTGGGAACTCCTTGTGAAGCTCTTCCCACACTCAGAGCACCTGTAGGGTCTCTCTCCTGTGTGGACGCGTTGGTGGTAGGTGAGTTGGGATCTCTTTTTGAAGCTCTTTCCACAGTAAGAACACTTGTATGGACTCTTTGCTGAG